TTCAGACCAGCTGGCCCCTTCACTCTCAGCTCTAGCCCCTAGTGGCTAGATCGGTGCACATAGGCTTGGGCATTCACACATCAAGAGAGGTCTCTTTTGCAACACTCAAATCTTCACTGTTGCTCCCAAGTCAGAAGTCTGAGACTGGGCTCACTGGGTGTCTTTCAGTGGTGGAATGTAGACGATTTCTAGAACATCTATGCTCATATTTTTAAAGAATGTTTTATTGTAGTTTGGGTAAATCTCTCCTAACTTCTAAAGAATTTATTCTCCCTCAGCTTCCTTGACAAAACATGATATGCTGTCCCCTGTGATGAACCTACCTCCAAGAAAAAGCAGTTTGTTTCTCCAACACACAGTTGGTCACCTACTCATGGCTGCATAGGGATTATCAAGTGATTACTAAGTGTCTGCGATGTTGTTTGATGCTGAAGACGCAGTACTGCATGAAGCAAGGCTTCAAACCAATTCAGAACAGTTCAGTAATTGCCGTTGTAAACAAAAGCTGCATATATATTGCATAGCAACCAAATCTGTTGCCCATGGTATTGGAGAGCCAACAGTGTTCTCTGAATGCCCTGCCTCAGTTTGTTCAGGAGCCTGATATAGGAGATTGGATTATTAGTAGGACTCTGGAGAGCAACATACATTCAAAACAGTGCTGGCAACAGCCATTTTTGAGTGAGGTAAAGCTCTTTGTTTCCTGTTGTTGTTGTCTGTTGTTAATGCCATTGAGTCAGTTCTGACTCATAGCAATCTTGGTTTCCAGAGAGCGATTAGTGGGTTTGAACCACATAACTAGCAGTTAGCTGTCTAGTGTGTATCCTACAGCACCACAGCAGAACTCATACTCAGGTCAAAATATCACAGGCAACAGGTGACAGGGCTCTTGTTTATGGCAGCAATTATGGAACCATTCTGAACTCATTGGAAGCCCTGGCATGAAGCCAAGTTCAGGTTAGAATCTAGGGAAGAGTCCTATACCGACAGGAGAAAGAGAAAGGAAAGAGTGCTGGGCAAACCTGCATGGAGAGTCAGGGAAGGCTGCCTGGCACCTGGCTGTCCATGCAGAACAAGCCCACAGATTCAGGACTCAGCAGAGAGCCACCCACCTGGTGTTGCAGACCTAGAGGAGCATGCAGCTGGCCTTCCTGGCCTGGACCCAACCCCTTTGCCTTTCCTCAATGCTGCTTAATGAAAAAATAAAATCTGAAGATGCTCTACTAACAACTGTGTAGGATAAGTACTGGACTGCTAACCACAAGGTCGGTGGTTGAAGCCCATGAGCTGCCCCACAGGAGAAACATGGGCTTTCTGCTACCACAAAGATTTACAGCCTCAGAAACCTTATTCAGGGTCACTGAGTCCCGACCCACTTCAGGGCACTTAACAACAACAATAACATGGGAGATAATCTTTGAAACCCTAAACATCACTAAATTCGATCATGAAAAGAAAACAAAACATAGACAGTTGTCATCAAGTCATTTTCAACTCATGAAGACCTCACGTGTGTCAGAGTAGAACCATGTCTCATAGGGTTCTCAATGGTTGATTTTTTTCAGAAATACATCCCCAGGCTTTTTTCCCCAAGGTGCCTCTGGGAAGACTTAAACCTCCAACGTTTCAGTTGCACCACCCAAGGACTCCCCAGAGAGATAGCAACCACCACTGTTTTTTAAAAACATTTTATAGAGTTTTTGGTGAAAGTATACACTGCAAAACAGGTTCCCCTTCAACAATTTCAACACGTCATCTTCTCTGACATTGGTTAGATTCTTCACTGAGTCCTGATCATGGCCCCATGAAGCAGGTATCTGCTCCATTTGTACAGATGAGGAAACTGAGGCTGAGATCAACAGTCTCATTGTTTCCATTCCAGTTGTTCCCATCGCATTAATTTCTTCTCACTGCCCCCCAAACTTCTTATCCATGCTTTAAAAGAACTGGTGTCCATTTGGTCTACTATGGAGAATTTTTAAATGAGCCAAGTTCTCACTGGCAAAATTCTTTACTTTTTGAACTAAACTGCACTTTAATTAAAAGATGATTTCAAGGGTTAGTCTATGGCTTAAAGAGATCTCAGGGCAACAGTCTCAGATTTCTATGGGCTCAATGAGTCTAGTAAGTCTAGATTCTCTGAGAATTTGTTCACCTTTTCCTCCTTTCTATGAGGTACCATAGTGTGGTACTATGCGTTAATGCGCTGGACTGCAAGGTCAATTTGAACTGCAAGGTCAGCAGCTCAAGCTCACCAACCACTCTGCGAAACCCTATACAGGGTCGCTATGGGTAGGAACTGACAGGATGGCACTTAACAACATCAGGTACCATATACTTCTTCTGGTTTCAAATTAGAGAAGGTGCTTTCTAGAATACATTAGTCCTGGACTCCAGTTCCTTCTCTGAATCTTGGCTTGTCTTCATTTTCTTTTGCTCTAGGCAAATAGGAATCAATAGCTATATCTTAATGGCTGCTTATACCACAGTCATTTTTCAATGAGCATCTACCATACACTTGGATTCCTGGTGTGATGCTGTAGATAAGCACAAGGTCAGTGATTCAAACCCACCAGCCACTCCTTAGAAATCCTATACGGGGTCGCTATGAATCCGAACCAACTCAATGGCATATAACAACAACAGCACTACACACTGAATCCTGATAATAACTCCATGAGACAAGTATTTGTTTCATTTGTACAGATGAGAAAACTGAGGATCACATAAAATCAGTTGTCTAAAGTCACAAATAAGTGGCAGGACCAGAATTTCACTTAAAAACCTATCCTCTTATCCACTTGCCAAAACTCAAGGCAAGTCCATGATTCTAAGAGACAGTTGCCCTGAGCATGTGCACTTGTCACTGCTTTGCTCTGAAGATAGAGGATAAATAGAGTGACCCCAGGAGAAACTCAGACCTTCAATCAGGTATAGCCAGGACAAGGACATTGTGTGACACATTCAGAAGTCAGTCTCTGCTCCTTGCCCCATGTTGGTCCATAAATTTGTGGTGCAACCTCCCAGGTTGATTGCTAATGCATCCAGGTTCTTTTTGTACACCTCAGCTTAGCTCTCTGCACTGCTAGCAGCTGTGTAATAAGCTGGGCCCTAGGTTGTATAACTTTTGCTCAAAAAAAGTGAACTCCAACAGCAGAGAAATGAGCAGTGGAACGAGAAACATCTGACCTGGGTTCACCTTCTCAACCAGCTGTGTGGACGTGGACAGGTCCCATTGCCTCCCTGAGCTTCAGATGCCTTTGCTGATCTCATGGGAATGAGAACTCCCACTTCCTTGGATTCCTGACAGCTTAATGAGATCATACCTGTTAAGTGCTTGCTTGGGGTATGGAGTCCACCTTTCTGTCTTTAGCAGTTGACAGTGAGTCCTAACTCTCTCAGTGGAGCCTCAGAGGGGCTGATCGAAGACTCAGGAGGTATGGTTTTGGAGAAGATTTTATACTTGATTCTTGCTGATGTTGAGAGCCCTGTTGAGTTGGCTCCAACCAATGGTGAATGAAATGTTACCCCATCCCATACAATTTTTATGATCATTGGTGCTCACGTGCACCAACAGTCCCTGTGTATTTTGAGAGCCTTCCAACCAAGAGGGCTTATCTTCCAGTACTAGCCATAGGATTTACATTGGCTAACTTTCAGAAATAGGTTGCCAGGACTTTCTTCTTTGTCTTAGCCTGGAAATTCACTGCTGAAATCTGTCCACCATGAGTTACGCTGCTGATATTTGAAATACTGGTAGCATAGCATCCAGCATCAGAGTAACATGTAAGCCACCACAGTATGGCAAACTGACAGATGGGTGGTGGTGCGTCCCCTTGTTCTTGTTAAGTGTTGTCAGGTCGATTCCAACTCATAGTGTCCCTCTATAGGGTTTCTGAGGCTGTGCATTTTTGTGGGAGCAGAAAACCTCATCTTTCTTCTATGTAGCACGTGGTGAGCTTAAACTGTCAACCTCGTAGTTAGCAGTCCAGTGCTTTATCCTCTAGAGCTACCACACTCCTCGTGCTTCATCTTAATGGTCTATTAATCCCATTAAAACCTAGTATGGATTTTTTTAAAAACTTTGCCACTGTATTTTCTGTGTGTATGTGTGTGTTCACCTCACCCTTAAGTGCCTGGTGTATTTGAGGAGCTCCAAGTAAGCCAACAAGCCTGGGTGGGGAATGAGCCCAGTCATCTTCTTAATCATTATGCTACATGAAGGAAAGATACTGGATGGGGAATTTTGAAACCTGCGTTAGAACACTTTTCTGCATTAACTTATTTAGGGAACCTGGGTAAATTCTCATTCCTCTCTTCTTGTTGTTATGTGCTGTGGAGTCGGTTCCGACTCATAGTGACCCTGTACAGAGTTTCCGAGGCTGTAAATCTTCATGGGAGCAGAAAGCCTTATCTTTCTCTATGGAACCACTGGTAGTTTCGAACAGCTGACCCTGAGGTTCGCAGCCCGATTCATAACCACTATGATACCAGAGCTCCTAGTCCTTAGTTAACTCATCTACTTATGTTCTTAAAGTACTCTTTGATTTCTTATTGTCTCCATTTGTGATTCTTTGACTGACGCTCCCTGAATCAGAAGACACTAATCAGTAAAGAACAGAGTTTAATCAGAAAAATCAATCAGTACAATATGTACTACAGGATATCCCTCAACTCACATCACAGACATGGGATAAACAACTTTACAATAAATTAGGAGAAGCCAACCCTTTCCTTCCCTCTTTCATTATAAATACAATAGTAGACTAGTCAGGAAGGTTTTCATCTGTGGGGTGAGAGCTACTTGAACCCAGAATTTTCCCTACAAGTCTTAGAGGACAGGACATCAAAGCAAAGAGTTTTCTTCAAGAAGACTCTTCATTTACATAGTTTTGAAGCAAATGAAAGTCATAAAAATGGTGGTCTTCCCCATCTCTCCCCTCTTCAAAGTTGATTTGTCTTTCACAGAAAATCTCACAAGGGCTGTTCTTTTCTTGGTGTCAAGCTGTGGAAGTTTCTTGATGGTAATTCTTGTCAATCCATGCTATAAAGACACCCAATTCCCCCAGAGACTTGATGGCAGCGGATCCGACCTCCAACTGAAACCAGTGAAGTAATCATAAGAACCTGCTTTCATGGAGTGGGTAATGATTTCCAATGCTTCCCTATGTCCTGCTCTTCATGAGGTTTTCTTTTTATTCATCAAATATATTTACAAAGCATGCAAACTCAAAATGCCTAACAGTCAATCATCCTGCCCCCAACACACACAAACATTTAAATCATTTAAACTAGATATAAACAAACAAATAAAACTTCATTCTTTTCCCTCATTTTCCCCTGTTTTCCACAGTATGCTCCCCCAAGTGGTCAAGTCTTCCTCTGGTTTTTTCGTTTTCACATCAATTTGCTTTATTACTTCTGCGTTCCCAGAAAATCATAATCCTAGCTGTGCAATGGGAAGAGAGACTGTATTGTCCTCATTTGACATGAAAGCACTCAAACTCCAAAAGATAAAGTGTCCCGTCAACATCGCATATGCTTAGTAGAAAGTTGGAACTAGAATCCAAACTTCTTGCATTATTTCACTCCTTCTAAAAGGAGCTCTTTCTGGTAGCATAGTGGTTATGAGTTGGGCTGCTAACCTCAAGTTCAGCAGTTCAATACTATCAGTAGTTCTGCGGCAGAAAGATGAGGCTTTCTGCTGCCATAAAGATTTACAGTCTTAGAAACCCTTGACAGGGTTGCAATGGGTCAGAACAGACTCGACAGCACTTAACAACCACAACAAAGCAAACGTAGTTGTTGTTAAGTGCTGGTGAGTCAGGTCTGACTCATAGTGACCCTGAATAGGGTGTCCGAGGAAAGGGTTCGAACCATCAACCTTGCAATTAGCAGTCCAGTGCTTATACCACAGCACCACACCAAGACTCCCAACAGATTAGGAGATAGTAAAATCCAAAAGCTAGACTTCATGGGATCAAATTCTACCTCCATCATTTAGTAGACATTGAGAACTTTGTTAAGAGATTTAATATGTCTGTGCCTTGTTTAAGAGTCCCTGGGTTGTACAAATGGTTAATGTGTTCATCTGCTAATCCAAAAACTGAAGACTCAAGTCCTTCCAGAGACACTAAAAGAGAAATTTGATGGTCTACTTCCAAGAAGTCAACCATTGAAAATCCTATGAAGGACAGTTCTACTCTGACACACACGAGTCACAATGAGTTTGGCATCAACTTGATGGAGATAATGTTGTTGCTGTTTTTGTGTCTTTGTTTCCTAATTCATAAAATGTAGATAATCACACCTACTATCACACATTTGTGAGGACTAAATGTGTTAAAACTTGCAGCATGCTTAGAGCAATACCTGACTCATAAGAACAATATGACTCTTAGTTATTGTTATCAAAATTATCATACAAAGCCTCCACAAGAAGGAGCCACTCCCTGAACAGACTCCCTGTCTCCTTGCTAGTCAAAGCACTGGTATCATTTGAGTGTAGGAGAAATGCAGACTTTCAGGCCTTAGTCCAGAGGAACAGAATCAGAATCTACATTTTTACAAGATCTTAGAAGCACAGTGCAGTTCTATATCACCACACATCAGAATACTGATGACAGTTACAGGACACAGTGACACCTTGCCAGTGACATATAGTGTCATGTCAAGTCCATCCTGACTCACAGTGTCCATCTAGAGCAGAGAAGAATTGCCCCATGGGGTTTCCAAGGCTGTAATCTTTACAAAGGCAGACTGTCATATCTTTCTCCTGCTAAGCAACAGGTGGGTTTGAACAGCTACTGTTAGTAGCTGAGCCCTTAGCCAATATACCACCCAGGGACTTCTGTTGCACACATGTCAACTTACAATTCACTGGGGCCCTTTGCTATCTCTGCTTCCCCCCAAAGCTTAACACAGGTTAGGCTTGATATGCTAGGATATAAGGAAATAGTAGAGGGGTGGTGGGGAAGGAGAATCCAGGGAATTAGCAAACAAGGTAAGAAATACCCACTTTTCAGACAGATAAAATAGGGAAGGAGTGTCCTAAATACTTGTTGAGTGAATGGACACATTTGAGTGGAAAGAAGGCTGAGGAGTAACACTCTCTGCAGCAGGCTCCCCGCTCCCATCTTCCCTGTCCTCTCCTGGCCCAATACCTGGTCATAGTTGTTGTTGATGGTTCTGGTTGCATTGGTAGCTGCCTCACTGCAGGGACACAGACTCTTCTCCTTCTGTGATGAAGCATGGACAGTACAGTCAGAGGACCGACCTTCCCACCCTGACCCACCCAGACTGCCACCTCTCCTCCCTCCTAAAGTAAGAGACCCAAGGAAAACTCAGGCAGAAACAGACAAGGGAACATAGGTCTGTTTGTAGAGTAGCCCTGGGTTTGACTGTAGGTACCAGGAGAGCAAGCACCTGTCTGTCCTGTTACCACTCGGAACCCAATACCCAGCGCTCAACAATATTTATTGGATTAATTGATTAAATAATTGGCTAAAGGAATCAAAATCAGGAACCCATTTTAATTAGCATCATTACCCCATCTAACAGTTTTAGAATCTGAGACCCAGAGAGGTGAAATAAACACAGGATATTATTGGCAGGTGTGATAGTTTAGGGTTTGTATCAACTTGGCTGGACCAGCAGTAAAGGTGTAGTTATCGCTTCCATGATAAGATCTAATATGATACAATCAACCCCACGATGTTGTCTGAGTATCTGCTCTGATCTGATGCAACCCACAGGGTTAGACTGCATTTTGAGTCAATCTCTTTTAAGATACAGAAGGAGAAAAAATTGAGCAGAAATAGAGGGACCTACTATTACCAAGTGGAGTCCTGGTGTGGCGCTGTGGGTTAATGTGCTGGACTGCAAAGTCGTTTGAATCTCAAGGTGAGTGGTTCAAGCTCACCAGTCACTCCTTGGAAAACCTATACAGGGTCACTATGGGTTGAAATCGAGTTGACAACATTCAACAACAACAACAACAACTATTACCAAAAGGAGCTCTGGTAGCGTATTGGTTACAAATCGGGCTGCAAACTTGAAGGTCAGCAGTTCGAAACTACAAGTCGCTCCATGGGAGAAAGATGAGGTTTTCTACTCCTGTAAAGATTTAAAGCCTTGGAAACCCTGTACAGGGTAACTATTAGTTGAAACTGACTCCACGGCACATAACAACGACAACAACAACAATTACCACTACTACCAAGAAAGAAGATCCAGGAATGGAGTATATTATTTGGGCCTGGGGTCCTTTCACTGTGAAGCTCCTAAATCCAGTGACAGATCGGTGTCAATCAATAGCGAGATCTCCAAGGAATGCTGGGCCTACAGATGCTAAAAGGAGACCAGAATCTTTCCCCTAGAACTAACATTATGAATTTAGGCTTCTGGCCTCCTAAACTGTGAGAGAATGAATTTCTGTTTGTTAAAGGCCCCCACTTGTGGTATTTCTGTTACAGCAGCATTACAGAACTAAGGCAGCAGGGATGGAGTCAGAATCCAGATTTTCTCCTGGGCTAAGTTACTGTTGCTTTTGTTCGTTTTTGTTAGCTCACAATGAATTTATATGCAGTTCTTAGGGGTAGGGCATACAAAGGAACTACCAAGAGGTTGGAGTCCTGCCAAATGGTTAACACACTTAGCTGATAAACAAAAGCTTGGTGGTTAGAAAAGCCTGGTATTCTACTTCCCCAAACCAGCCATTGAAACCCCTACGAAGGTCAGTTCTACACTTGACACACACACGGAGTCCCCATGAGTTGGAACTGATTCAACAGGAACCAGTTTTGTTTTATCAAGAGGTTAACTGATACGGAAACTCAAAAGAGAAAAACAAAACAGTCAAAGAAACTTAAAGTGTGTTTCTGATAAACGACGGCTCCAGCCGTCACTCAAGAATTACTGTGATATAAACTGTCACCCCAGGAGTATTATTCATGAGGAAACCCCAGGTCTAATGAGGTATCAGCAAGCTGGAAATCCTCAGGAAACGAAGGGGTGACCACTGGAAGAGATTCCTGAGGTTTCTCCCAGTGGACAACAGGGCAGGAAATTTCCTCTGACTCGAGGAACCATTTCAGAAGGCTGACTGTGGCCAGCGTATCTGGAGCTCTCCTGGGGCAGACTGGGAACAGATACTTGCAATCGTAAAGTGGTGACTCACACAAGGCTGCACAGTTCTTTGCAGGGTCAGGAAAGAATTGGAAATGCTGCTGACTCCTCTTGAGATGTGGAGGCTCAACTCCTCACGGTACTTGAACACTCTCTTCACGTAGAATTCCAGGAGCTTCCTGGTCATGCAGCACGTGTCTAAGGGCTACAGACACAAATTAGAGAAATCCCCAAAGGCTCCCTTCATTATTATCTTAGATTATTTTAGATAATCTTAGATTATCTAATCTTAATCTTAGATTATTTTAGAGACCAAAGACATTTTCTAAAACTCGTAATAGTCTCTTAGTGTTCATTTCCTTTTACCACATCAAAGCTGCTTTTGATGAAGGTGCTAAGGAGAGATTTCCCTTTTGGTATGGCCAGGAGCTATATTAACTAAGGATGGGACGCAGAGTCCAATTATAGGATAGAATTCTCTCTGCAGCATTTCCAACATGCCATCACTAGCTTCTGCTTAAACCCTTCCAAGAATCAGGCACCTCCTTTCTAAGAGGACCAATGACTGAGCAGCCTTCTTAAAGAGTACTTCCTTATATTATACTGAAGCCTGCCCCTCTGTACTCTCTCCCATCCATCAATCTGTATTTTTCAATAGCTATTGCATGCCATGCATTGTACTAGGAACATCTTCATTCAGTTGTTAAAAAACTGTGTTCAGCCAGCTCACCATCCTGGCAACTCTGCGGTGGGCCACCCTGCTCAGTCTCCTCCTACTTGTCCTTTTTAAAACTGCAAACATCATCTGGATGGTGCTGAGATTTGCAAGAATGGAGCTTGACAGCTGTGGAAATCAAATCCTCTGGGTAGATCCCCACCTGTAGTGTGCAGCTCTGAGAGAGATCCTAAGCAGGGATTATAGAGGAGCTGGCCAAGCTGTTTCTTTACAGCAGCGTGCACCCTGCCCAGGTGAATGATTTCTAGCTCCAAATGTCTGTCTGATTAGGGAGGAGTCTTCAGTACATAATACTTCCATCTTCCTTAGCAATAAAGGAGCAAAACCTTCCTGGTCTCACAGGCAGCCTTCCCTAGATGGCAAACACTACTTTGAACACATAAACCCCTGCCTGTCCCCAATCAAGCTGGCTTCTTAACAATCAAAAGTACAAAAAGTTACCCACTTAAACAAAGATTGTGTTACTAGAAAAAGGAACACAATAAAAGGAAAACAAGAAGGAAGGAGGAAGGGAAAGAAAAGAGGAACTGAAGGAGGAGAGAGGAAAGGAGGAAGACAGTATGGTAAAGACTTCAGTCCTCACCTACTCCTCTCTTTAATCCATAGCTGCTCTTTCTAGAACTTGAGAGAGGAAGAGCCCGGTGGTGAGGCATGAGAAATTGGGGTCTATTACCAGCTTAGCCACTAACTAATCATTTTCCCTCCTGGGATTTCAACTTCCTCATCTGAAAATGATAGCTTTGGAATAAAACATCTTTTGGATCCTTTCCATCTGTCCCTTCCTGTAAGTCTATAATACAATTGGCTGGAATATTATTGAGTAAGTGACTACATCTGTTTGCCACAAATAAATCAAGTCAATACTGCCCTAGGAGAATTATGGAAGTGTCTCTCTTATGTGTGCAGAGAAGACTGAAGACATTGTGACTACTTGTGGATCTACCTTACACTCAGTCACGTTAAGTACTTGAAAACCCTGGGAGCTTCTAGAATGTTATCAAGTACTGCAGGATCTTCCAGTGGCTCCTTTCGTAGAGTCAATTATTACCTTGTAAGGAGCTCTGGTAGCGTAGTGGTTACGAGCAGCCAACCTCAAGGTCAGCAGTTTGAAACTACCAGCTGTTCCATGGGAGAAAGATGAGGCTTTCTGCTCCTGTAAAGATTTACAGCCTCAGAAACCCTGTACAGGGTGGCTATGAGTTGGAACCAACTCCATGGTACTTAACAACAACAAGCCAATAGTTTGGTTATACACTCTCATCACCTCTTGTCTGGGTTATTGGTCTTTCTTGCCTCAAGTTGTCCAAGAACGTTACCAGACTGTCTTTGTAAAACACTTTGTATTCATAGAGTGTCTCACCTCCAAAACCTTCAGTAACTCCCTTGTAAAGCGACCTCAGTGTATGTTTCTACCGCGTTACCCACTGTTCACCTCACACTGCAAGGCTGGCCACTTGACTGTCCCCAAACCCCACTTGGGTTCCTATGCTCCCCAAACCCCTTCCTCTTTTTTTTTTCTACAGATCCACAACCTAGTCAAATTTAAAATGGCCTGCTTTCTTTTTTAAACTCCCACTCTGAACCCTTCCAAAATTGCCCTGTCCTCGTCAAGCCTCCAGCTTCTCCAGGCACTGTCATGGTAAATACCGCTTGTTTAATCCCACCCAGAGTCTTAAAGTCCCAGGGGCACTAGTGTGTCCTAAGTATCAGTTGACAAATGAGAAACCTAGAGTACCCAGGAGATTAAGTGAGGAAGGGGATGGAGTTAAGATTCTTAGCCCATGGCCACTTCACCATAAAGCTAAAAATACAGCAAAGAGCAGACAATACCTTAACGCTGTGCAGGTTTGACAGGATAGTGACATTTTTGAAGGTGTCATTCACTTGCTATGGAGAGAATCATAAGAACAGACAGTGATGAGTACTCAATGCTCTCCCAAGACATAAAACATAATGAGAAGGAACTTGTTCTTCAAGCTAAGATACAAGGAGAAGCACATGCCCTTGCCCACACCTTAACCCCAAACTCATACTCACGACAGCATCTTTGATTTCTTGGAAACTCTGCTTTACAGGGTTCATGTCCATGGAAGAGGGACATCTACTGAGACTTCTGGCATGCATTGAGCACAGGAAGAGCATCATGCCCAGGATGCACAGGGGAATGCCCTGTATCTTCATGTCCTGGAGAGGAGGGAGAGCAACACAATAGAAGACCCAGCTTGGCTTCCCCTTTGACCTCCCAGTGCAGGCCAAACTGCAGCCAAGAGGACAGGCTCAACACCCCTGCCCGGGGGCCTCTCAGGGGCATGTATCTCCTCTTCTGGCTTTCCTGCATCAGTTGAATTTGAGCCTTTCTTTTGACACCCCCCATGTGTCCACCTCCACTCCAAGAAAGCATGACACAGTGCTCTCTCCGGTTCCAGGGATGGTATTTATGTGCGTATCTTCTATGACTCAACACAATTCACTTTGACAGTTGGGGTGGGAGGTCAGACGTGGGGGAGAAGCATTGTTTTTAGTAAATTAAATGGGAAAAACTAAGTTGGAAATACGCCCTAGGAATTAGGCAACAGATCTGAAAAGCCCTAAAACCACATTTGTTTCTTTTGTTTTATTATGTTTGCCTATGACATCCTTTTATCATACACCCCCAATGTGTATCTGCTTCAAATCATTTGTTTGAAACCAATTGTGCAGATCATGTCTTTTGGGAAAGAAGGGAAAGGGAGATGCAAAATATTTCCTAATAAATGATTAGCCCCAGCGAGAAGACAGGGAAAGTTGTCCCTGCAGAGGCCAAGTTAGTGGCTCCCTATCTGTCACCCAGTGAGCTGGGGATATGAGAGACAGTGTTTGCAGCTAGTCCCTGGATGAGGCCGGGCCCCTGAGCTGCTTCTGCTGCATCTAGCACTCTCTCTCTTCCTACTTCTCTCCTTTTCTGCTTTTTTTCATTTAACCATTTAAAGTCATGTCATGTAGCACACACACACACACACAGAGAGAGAGAGAGAGAAAAGTACATCAAACATAACTGTATAGCTTATGGAGTTGTCGTTCTCTGACTTCTCCCAGCATTGGTGCAAGTTTTACCCACAGAGCCGAGTCTTACCAGATAAATCTTATGTCAGCATGTGTGAATCAACTACCATTCTGCCTAGAGTCCTCTACCCACCTAGCTCTCATTGCAACAGAGTGTGTGGTAGAGGATAGTGGAGGGGAGGGAGACACCAAATATAGGAAGCCATCTGAAGGGCTTCAGAGCCTAACTATAAAGAATGCAGGGGCAAGACTGTGAACCACCATAGCCCCTTCCACAACCCCCACCCCCAACTACCTAAATTGTCCTTGAGGCCCCTAGGCTCTTTCTCCAGAAGGCCAAGAACTAGAAAATCCCAATTTATAGTGAGTCCATGTGTGTCAGAACAGAACAGTGCTACATAGGTTTTCATTAGCTAACACTTTAGAAGTAGGTTTCCAGACCTTCCTTCTGCAGAGTCTCTGGGTGAACTTGGTTAGCATTCAAGCACATTAACTATTCACACACATATACACACACACACACCCCAGGGACTCCAAATTCCATTTAGAAACACTTATTTTTTTAACTTGCCCCTCCTTAACTCATCATTTCCAATCAATGGGTTGTTGTTTTTAAAGTGCCATCGGGTTGTTTCCAACTCACAGCATCCCTGTATAGGGTTTCCTAGGAGTGGCTGGTGAGCTTGAACCACCCACCTTGCAGTTCAAACCAACCTTGCAGTCCAGCACATTACCCTGCAGCGCCACACCAGGACCCTAATCAATGGGTAAGTATGTATTAAAATCTTATTATGTGGCATATGTTGCACCAAAGAACTTGCTTTTTCTTTTCAGCCTTCATCTTTCTGGTAAAACAAAGAAATAGAGCCCCATTGGCAGAGAAGTATGTAGAAAGTTTCCCAGAACTCTGTCCCCTTCTAAGGTGACCAGGGAACTTCTACAAAGTCAAGTGACTAGGAAGAGAACACTGTTTTTCTCAGATGCAGTGAGAAATTGCCTGCCCTCACCCATTCACAATTTCTTCTTCAAGCAGAGCAAGATTCCTTGTCAACACAATCCTCACACCATCATGATTCCACGCCACTAGCATCTCAGATGTTTAGTGGAGGGAAAAGATTCTGGATGTCTTGACTGTTTCAGATAATAAGTAGTTTATGTTCATCAAGCAGGCCCTGTGTATCAGATTTTTCATATACTGCTCACCACTGGTCTCTGTTTCTATCCCCATTTTACTAATGAGGGAAATAACACTCAGAGAAATTAAATAACTTCCCCAAGGTACACAGCAAGCAAGTGGCCGTGGCTGACCCTGAGTCCATGCCTCTTACCCCTATCCCACCCCGCCTGCAACACTGCTCTCTAATTGGATGATGTTTTTCTCTGGCATCTGAACTGGAGGTCGCAGCATTCCACTGATACCAGGAAGAAAGGCAATCTTTTTTGGAGGGTGAAGGGGGTGTCCACTGAATCAATGGTGCAACTTACATTTAAAGCGAGATTTCATACTGCAAAGGATCATGAGACTTAAAAAAGATAATCGTTTATAAAGTATCCAGCATAGTTTCTGCAACAGGAAAATAACATTAACTAATCTAAGTAAACCTACATAATCTAGGTAACATAAGATTGTCTCCCTCTAACTTCCTTTCTTTGCCCCTCCCTCACTTTCCTTTTCCCTTTTTCCCACTCGCTATCTCTTCTTACTGAAAATAAATTAAAAAAAACAACAAACAAACCCACTTCTATCAAGTCAATTATGACTCATGGTGTCGGTTATGTGCTGTGGAGTCGGTTCGAACTCACAGCGACCCTGTACAGGATTTCCAAGGCTGTAAATCTTTACAGGAGCAGAAAACCTCATCTTTCTCCTGCGGAACAGCTGGTAGTTTCAAACTGATGACCCTGAGGTTAGCAGCCCGATTCATAACCACTAAGCTACCAGAAGTCCTTTATATTGGGCATCCAAGACTGTAATCTTGACTGGAGCAGGCAGCCTCATCTATCTTCTGTAAAGCATGTTGGGGGTTTGAAACCCTGACCTTACAGTTAGCAGTCCAACACCTATCCCACAGCACCACCAAGGTTCCAAAGTTCACCCCTACCTGGAAAACTCCTCCCCACCCTACAGCACCTGGAACATATAAGCCACACACAGTGCAAGCTGCTCACCTACCTGCTGTTGGGAAGGCTGTAGTCAAGAGAATGATGAAGACACAAGAGCACACCTCTCACTGGTTCCTCTCACTGATCTCCTCTCTCAAGGTTCTGTGCCATGCAGAGAGGGCTGATCACTTTTATGCAAGTGACTAGGAGGAAGCACTGTGTAGGTTTACTGGGTGGGTCTGCCTCTGGCAGGTCGTTTTTCCCCCTCGTTTTCTTAGCATCTCATTTCTTTAGTTGTTTTCTTTTCTTTCTTCTTTGAAATACTGCTGATTAATCATTATTAAGAAATGACTCTTCTGGGTCCTGACATGCAGCTTCTAGGGAAAATAAACTCACCATCATCTCTATGCAAATGAGAATGTCTTGCAATGCTGTGTCCATAGAAGAAGAAGAAAAAAAAAAAATCCAAGTTAGGTCACCTTCCTGAGAGCTGGGGCATGGGACCAACTATAGCCTGGAGGCAAACTCAGCAAAGCAGTCTCCTGCCAGTCTCTCTCACCCAGCAGGGAACCCAGGAAACTCTGCAGGTGCCTCTGGCTACAGCACAGTCATCTCCTTGATGCCTCAGATGGCCTGGCGTGCCCACCATGTGCCAGGCACTAGCTGCTTTGCATGCATTATTTTTCACAATTTCATGGAAACAATCCCCTCCCTGTCCCCAGGATCTCTTTGAACACCATTTCTTTCCCTGTCAGTTTGTCACCTAGAGTCCTTTCATTCTCCACTAATACAGAGAGAGAACCTGAGAATGGGAAGTAAAGATGCTTAAGAGCAGTCAGTAGAAGACCCAGGAGCTGAGCCTGGAATCCTTACTCGTGAGCCCGAAGATCCTCTATAATTTATTTCTTACACAAATTCTAGCCTGTGAGTTCTCCATACGAGCTAGATTCTAGGTGATAGAAAGGTAGGGTGTGAAGAGTGTCCTCTTCAAACATGAGGTCCCTGAAGAAACAGACTTTCTTTTATGGGGACAATGACAAGTGATCTCATTTATTCTAGGGATGCAGTGCTAGTGCAAAGGGTTGTTGTTGTTGTTGTTAAGTGCCGTCAAGTCAGCTCCAACTCATAGCAACCCTGCATATGTTTTCCAAGGTGCAGCTGGTGGGTTTGAAATGTCGACCTTGTGGCTGGCAGTCCAGTGCTAATCCTACAGTGCCACACCAGAAGTCTATCCATTATCATAGATGTCATGAAATAACCCATGTTGAGGGGAGCCAGTAGACTGTAGCGGTTCATAGTCTAGCTCTAGATTCAAACCCTGGTTCTACTACTTCTCTGAGAGATGCTGGACATGTTGCTTAAGACATGTATGAAGCTAGTAAAATAGAGAAAATAAACTATGAGAATTTGAATGAATTAATGTACCAATCCATAGTAAGTACTCAGTAAATTAATGTTATTTATTATGATGTTGTGTGCCAGGCATTTAGTTAGGAGTTAATGGAGTGTCTCAGTTAATAGGTGATGGGGAGAAAAAACTGCTGTCAACTCTGGAGGTGACATTAACCTCATCCCTGATTTCTAGGCATGGCCATTAGCTTGGTTGGCTCGCCACTCACAGATGGCAGCCTAGCCCCACATGTGAGGACCATATTACACTGTCCCTGCTGACTCTCACCCCATATCAATCCTCTGGTGCTCAGAACTCTATGTTCTGGTCCAGCTTTCCTTTCAAGACAAAGATGCCATATCAGACACCTTGCAGCAGAGGAAAATGTGTGAGGTATTTACCATTCCTCTTCATTAGGCCAGAACTACAGTTCTGGAGTTAGGTCAGTCTAGGTTGGCTGGTTCTGCTTCCTGTGGCTATAAGACTGAAGGCAAGTCTCATAATCTCTAGGTATTTGTTTCTTCATCTGTAAAATGGTGATAACCGTGTCTACTGGATATTCATTTTGTAGGAATGATGTGAAAATTCAAGGATTAAAGGCAAGTCCTCAACTCAGTACATTGTTGTTGTGTTGTTAAGTACTGTC